TATATATATATATATATATATATATATATATATATATATATATATATGTATGTATATATATGTATGTATATATATACACATATATGCTCAAGAATTATTATTAAAATCAATTTCTAGATATAATTCATTTAGTCCTTATCTGTCAGAGATCAGGCTGGTTCTAATAATGGAGTGCTGTTAACAAGAACCAAGTTGTATATCTCAGCTATTTTGCTCAGTTGAGACAGGAAGTAGGAAAACCCTGGGCATTTGGACCTAAATTGTTGGGGAAAGGGGGGTCGTTTTTGTTTTTCTGGCCAGTAGTTTTATGTGTCTCTGACCTTTGTGTCAAATAATTAATCCCTCCAAAAGGAACCCCAGTTTATACCTGTGTGTAAGATTATGACACCGTGAAAAATACATAAATCTGTGCAAACTTATAGTTAATTTACAGTGATGTTAGCAACAGTTACTGTTTACTGATGACTTACTATGGACCAGGTAATGGGATAATGCTGAAAAAAATATAATTGTTTATAAAGTCTTCACCAAACTCTAGGATCTGGTTGCCATCATTCTTTCCATTTAATGGGGGGGGGAACCCTAAAGTTTCCTGGAATCAAGGCATTCTAAGATCATGGAACTAATAAGTTGAAGAGCAGCCACTTGGTAAAAGCCAGTCTGAGCACAGGGTTGAGAAGGGCAGAACTCAGCTATTTCCTATGTTCTGTGTCCATCGAGACATAGCTTGGTGCTCTGATAACACCCTTCTATTGGAGCCATCTTGAGTCTTACTGGGCAGATAGCATGGAAATCTGATTTAGACATCTGAATTCAATAAAACATTTAACCCTAGTGATGCCTGCCTCTCAGGTCAACTGGATGAGTATTAGTGCATATGTCTTCCTCATTCCACATCTCCATAGTCACCTTGATAGGCAGGGCTCCTTTTGCTTAAGCTCAATTTGGAAATCTTTCTCAGTGCTTCCTCTGTACTTACAGAGTGCTACGTTTCCAGTATTCTTTATGGTCATTGTTTTGTATTGTTTTGTTTTGTTTTGTTTTCTCTTTTTCAGAAAGCACCATCTCTTAAATGCACAAACTCCATTCATACCTGTGTTTCATTGGGTGCACAACCTAAATAATTCAGTGCACCTGTAAGACATGACCAGTGATTTAGTACAGCCCTCTACTAGCTTTGTGACTGGTCCATGGAGTTTAAACATGGTTGTCAACAGTGTGTAGAACCAGTAAAGTGGAAGCCTTCATAGGCAGCCTTTGGATAATTTCAGGGATTCCATGTGGGCAAAGGCTCGTTCTGCAGATGCATCATTTATGTACAATGTCAGAGAGCATTTTCCTTCGGCTTGGTCAGCCTTGGAGCTGCTTGCTTCAAGGGATTCTGCTCCTCATCGGAGAAGAAATATGTAGCTTTAAATATTGTCCAGAGAAGAAATATTTTTGGCAATATGTATGCAGACCTCCAATAATCTAACAGGCTGGAAAAGTTAAAAAAAGAGAAGGAAGTAGGAAAGGAAGAAAGGAGGCAAGAAGATGGGCAGACAGTAGTTGCGATTCCCATCTCCTGCAGGACACACTGAGACAAGCAGAGATGCAAGCACTCACTTCCGGTTCCTCTATCAGGGACCTTTCATGTGGCTCTATAGACACAGTAAAATCCTTTTTCAGGGCATGCCCAGACATGGTCTGAAACAGCAATCATCCTCCCAAAAGTTTAACTCCTACCATTTACCTGTCTCCATTCTAGGCCTTTTGTTAGCATAAGAACTACTGACAGAAAAACAATCCAAAGCAAAACATGATTTTAATTTTTAAAATGTCCTAGTATATCTATATTTTTGTGAAAATAAAAATAAGATATGTAGCAATAAAAGATCTGAGACCATCTTTAGAATACTAGAATACCCTTCAAGCAAGCAGTCTAAGGCTGAACCAAGCAAAAGGGAAGCACACTTCGGCTCATGACCTAAATGACCTCTCTGTAGGGTGTGTCCCTCCCTGCACTCACTGGCACTTACCCACGCAACGGCTACATTGTGAGAGTTTATAGTTTACTGATGCTTTACACTGATGACAAGCATCTTGAAACTCCATGACGTGACAAGTTACAAAGCTAGAAAAATGCTTAGAATTATCTGTGCCTAAATAAACATAAAGACTGAAATTAAATAAATGTGATATTATAAAGTACAGTAATTGAAAAGTGTACTTCACGTATGCTTTTTTGGTATTTTCAAACTATTGTTTATATCCTAAACTTCTGCCACCACATAATGAATTTTACATGTGACTAGTAGAGAAATCGTCTTAATAAAGCCAGATGTAATAACCTAATATACTATTCTAGTAAACAACCTCTGGCCAATAAACTGAGAATAATCTCAAGAAGAAAATATGTATTAAATAAAATAAGTTACCAAGGAGCAATCCCTACTTTCTTTCCTGTGAGATGAAGACAAGCAGCCTGAGCTTCCATTAGACTAACGTGATTTATATTAATCTTGGCCTGGAGGCTGAGTGGCTTAGCGGGCATCAGAGGAGCACAAAAGTAAGCAGTCAAGCAAGCAGCATGTCAGTAACAATTCAATAAAAGCAGCGTTCACATGGACCAATTAAAATAATATTATGAAACTGTCGTTATCTGTGTTTAGGTCTGTGGCCGACTCCAACCTAAACCCAGGGAGGAACATAAATTGCATGTGTATGAGAGATTTCCTCTCAGTACTGTCAGGGGATTTTCCTTGTAGGCCCTTCCACAGATCAGGCCTCCTTTCTGCTTTTCCCACACATTTCTACCTTTAAAGCAAATGCATCACTTACTCTGCTCTTCTCAACCCTTTGTAGTCTCACTTAAACACTGACTTGGGAGTGAGGACAGGCATGAAATGTGACTCTCCCTTCTACTCTAACTAATGGCAATTGCATCTGACTAGACTTATTTTCATCCAGTCATTCAAAAATCATTCATTGAATAAATTTAATTTGCCAGAAGTAAATCTTTATATTTTGAAGCAAGAAGCCATCCTGTCTTAGAGTATGAATGAGGGCACATAGTCATCCGCCTATTTAAAGCTAACCTGAACCTGCCACATACCAATGATATGTATAACTTAATAATACCAAAATAACTGTCTCAGTCCAGGGGTTCCAGTAGACCATGGGTGATTTTAATGTGTCCTTGTATTCATAATCTCTTGCAAAGGTTATGTCATTATTAGTTTTACAGAGGCTTTGCATGGGATCACAGACCTGTTGGTTAAATCCCAAGACCAGAAAACTTTAACATTATTCATATATATATGTATATATTTTATGATTGTATATATAATAAATATATTAAATATATAAATACATTTATATGTATACATATATGTGTATTTCACATGTATGTGTTTCTGTTTGAAATTTTCTATATATTAAAATATTTATAGGGGAGGGGCATGCATGCAGAAAGGGGGGGAGGGTGGGACCGGTAGGGGAGGAGGGAGGGGCTTATGGGGGGATACAAAATGAATAAAGTGTAATTAATAAAAGTTAAAAAAAATCTTATACGAACAATCCAAAAAATATTTATATATACATTATACGTATGAATGAACTTGCTTCTGATGCCCTCTTAGATATTTCCATGTTTACCTCTATTAGCTGTGATTCTTCTTGTTAACTGTTCATTTCACTCATTCACTTTACTGAGCTAAATCCCAGCAGTGTGCTTGCCAAAGCTGCGCTTCCGGGATTACCCACATTTCAGAGCTGGGAGAGCACACGGCCTCAGTCACTATCTTCCACTCTCGTACTGGATGCCTTTGGCTTGTTCCATTTCTAGGGCAGCCACTTTCCTTAGCAAATGGAAACAATCCAATAAACTTCAGACCTTCAGTGCTGGCAAAGCTTTGTATGCCACATCCACAGGGAACGTTTGAGCGTTAAATGAAAGAAACAAACTGTACTGTAATGTCTGGAACACATGGTTTAGGCAGGGGGGTTGGGGACCAACATTTAAGGACTAATGAATTGTCTTAGATTAGTAAGAAAAGAGACACTAGGTTTGCCTGGTCTCAATCACCAGGTTGCCTAGGATACTTTCATTTCCCTAAATTATTGAAAATATTTCTTGATTCAGTAACACTATGGTTCAAAACATTTACTAAAACTTTGTCCTGATTTGCATTCTCACTGCTGGTATTTTGCCACTGCAAGAAGCTGCTATTTTCTACAAGGTACAAGTAGGGGATTGAAAGGACTATTCTCTCTTAACCTCTCATTACACAGCAAGTATTGCCATGGCTGTCATACTGAGTAGGTCAGAAGAAAAGTGAGTTCCTGGAGTAACTTTGTAAAATAATCTCCTTCAATTACCTGCTGGAACAAAAACTGTAATAACAGATGGTAAAGGCTAGCATTCAACAGGTATTTGGTATGATATACCACAGAATGAATTAAACCAATTAACTCACAGTATCACAGCAAACCAAGAGGAAAGTCATGGCTGAAATGAAGACAGGTGGACTGCTGGTTCTTCTGTTAATACAGTACGTGGCTTAACAAAAATAATGGCTGTTCTGCCTTTCAAACAAATTCTTTTTTTTTTTCTATATGTATTGGTGGTTGCTGCTATTTATAGACTTCCTATTTGTGATGAAAGATATATCATGCCCCTGTTCTGGACAATGTTTTTGGTTATGGTATATTTTCAAATAAAAATTATCAGTATTGTTCAATATCCTTAGAGAATGCCATAGAAGAGAAAAGTAACTGTGATACAGGGCATGTAATATACGAGGCAGTGGAGGATGGAGGGGCCAGGGGGAAAGAAGGAGAGGAAAGCAGCAAAGAAATGCAGGAGAGGAGAAGGCGTGTGGGTGAAAGCAGCAACGGACCAGGAGAGAGAGGGTGGGCCAAATAAAGCAATGAATGTTTGAGGAGCTGAAAGGATTGAAATCACAATAAGCACTTTCTGGAAATCAATAGGTAAATTGCTTGTTTGTAAATGATTAGGGCAATTTGAGGCAATTTCCTAACATGCTTGTCATTGCCATTGTTTTGTTGAGTCTGGACCAAAATCCTAGCACTAGCTCACAGCTGTTGAAGATAAAAATTTGCTTTCTATCTTCCAACTTAATTCTTCAGTACTGGCTCAATATTTTCATGATCTAAGCATTACACTGACAACAAAAGTGAAATTTGTCAATTTTACACACTACACACAAAGATGATATTGATACACTACATTACTTTAAAATGGAACCAACACACATAAAGCATAAACCCAACGGGGGAAGAAGAAAGAGTAGAACTGAAGCCACGATGATAAATGAAGTTCTCATGCTTGAGACTGCTCAGCGCTGCTCTTGAGGAAGTAGATGAAAAGGAAAATTCCATAAAATCTACCCAAACCACACACACACACACACACACACACACACACACACACACACACACAC